CCTCAGCTCCTTTATTTTTTTATCTGTATCCTCTCTAGATTTATTAATCATGTCTTGCACTATGGGCACAATCTTTGCTGTTATGTGAGAAATTATTTCTGATTCCATTTTTTCCAGATCCTCTTTCGTTGCTAGTTCAGGGAGTCCAGGTGGTTGAGTATCAGTGTTCCATCTCATTTCCCTTTGGGGTTCCTGTAGGTAATCTGGAAGTCTGGTTCTAAGGCTTGTTTACATGTCTTCTCATTTCAACGAGGATGGAGGTGTTCCCTGGCGCCTGCACAGCTCACCTTCTCTGTGCTGGGAGCTGTGGCACGCCTACCTGGAAGCCTCCTCCACCCTGGGAGCCGAGGCATGCCTACCTGGAAGCCTCCTCCTGGCTGGGAGCTGTGGCACCCTGACCTGGAAATCTCCTCTGGGCTGGGAGCCATCCACACTGACCCGGAGGCTTCCTCTGTGCTGGGAGCTGTGGCATGCCTACCCGGAAGCCTCCTCCTGGCTGGGAGCTGTGGCACGCTGACCTGGAAGTCTCCTCTCAATAGTTTTAAATTCAAACTTGCAGAACAGGGCTCTTCTGCCGTTTTTGCTCACCTTGTTCCCTCCATTGGGAAATCCTTTTCTTCTGCAGCCTGCAGGCCCACAAACCTCATTTTAAAAATTCAGATCCTCTATGTGCTTCCTTTACATCCCTCTCCAGCATGCAACTGTTTTTACCCTCTGTCCTATACAAATACTTCTATCATAGAATCGTGATGGATTATTTTTACCTGCTCTGCACCCTCCTATCTTGTGTACATTATCTGAAGTCTGTAGTGATGACATCTTAATTGATGCTTGGCTTCTGATAGGTGCTATGTGCAATCTACCAGTCCAGAAAGGCTAAGTTAGGGGGTTCAATCTCCAGTACTGCAAAAAACAAAACAAACAAAAAAACCCCCACAACAAATCAACAAACAAAAACCCAGATAGGTTAAGTTACACTCCAGGTACAAAACCTCCTAAACCTTAGTAACTGAACACAATGAAGATTTATAGGGTTTATTCCCATTCACCAGGGATCAGCTAAGGGCTCAGCTCAGTGCCCTCCACCGCCCAGAATGTACACTAATGGGACCATTCCAGACAAAGCAATCGTGGTGACTGCAGCAGATGGAAAAACAGGGGCTTACAGTTTGGGAATTGGCCCTTAAATATCACAACCCTGAACCCATATCGGCCACTTAAGCTCACAACTTGTTGGCAAGAATTAATGATATAGCCTATTCAGCCACAAGGGGATCAGGAAGTACAGTGGACCCTTGACTTACAAACTTAATAGGTTCCCAAGGGCTGGTTGTAAGTAAGTCAATACAGCTGAGATCTGGATGTTTACCTGGCTAACGCTTTAGATAACAAGAGGCCAGTGAATCTTCCATTAACCTAATTAACCCAAGTTGTTAGTATGTCAGGCCAGTCACATAACTTGAGGGTCCACTGTTCAACTGTATCAAGTGTCCAGGAGATGGGGGGAGAAATATGGAAGGCCAGTGACCACCACTACTGGCCCTTTGGTGGATAATCAGTGAGCTCATTGTCTCAGCTGCAGTTGGCATACACTCATGCCTTGCCCAAGAATTCCATTTAGCAATATCAAGTTCAAATCCAGCAATCTCTGAGTCATGCACAATAGTTTCTCTACCAGTTTTAGATGTGATCCTGAAGAGAGACCCTGGGTAACTGAGACCTTGTCTCAAAATAAAAAGGGTTGGGGAGAGCTGGGCATGGTAATTCCAGCACTCTGGGAGGCTGGGGCAGTCAGATCTCAAGTTCAAGCCCACCCTGGCCAAATTTAGCAAGAATCTCAAAATAAATAACTGCCTTGGGTTGTAGCTCAGTGTGAAGGCCCTAATTGCTAATAACAATAAAATAAATGAAATTAAATAAAAAAATTCAAAAAAGGGCCAGGGATATAGCCCAGTACTGAAAAAAAAAAAAAGTAAATTCACAAACCCATCACATTCACATGCTGAATAAACACATGGGAGTGTATTACCAGAGGCAGAGTGAACACACATGTACATGGGGCAGGAAATGGAGAAATGGTAGATACAAGGAAAAAACAAAAAACTCTTCCAGTTTTTAGCAGACCAAGCTACTTAGGTTTGGGCCAGAGAGCAAAACAATCCTGAGAACAACCAGAATTGAGCAGTCATTGTGCTATATAAAAGACACGGAAGAATTCAGAAGACAGAAAGGCCAGGCCTCCTGGACTAGTTGTTCTTTTTCTCCTAGACTCAAGGTTAGAGGCTGGAAGAATGGATCATTCTTATTTAGACTATCCGACAGAGTCACAAGAGGACAACAGTCATCCCTCAGAATGTTTGGAGGACCGGTTCCAGGACCCTCTTTGGATGCTCAAGTCCCTTATATAAAATGGTGTACTATTTCCACACAAGCTCCCATATACTTTAAATCATCTCTATATTACTTGTAATGCTTAATACAATGTAAATGCTACGTCAATAGTTGCTATACTATATACTTTAGGAAGTAATGAGAAAGAACAAGTTTGTACATGATCAGTACAGGAACAATTAGAAAAATACTTTCAGGGTTGGGGGATATAGCTCAGTCATAGAGCACTTAAGCAGCACACGCAAGGCCATGGGCTTAATCCTCAGCACAGCTAACAAAGAAAAGCAAAACGTCAATCTGTGGTGAGCTGAATCCACAAATGCAGACTCTGGATATGGAGGGCTGACTATAATCACCTTGGCCTAGGCTCAGTCAACTGGCTAATAGACTGTAAACTTAACTGCCCCGACACCCAAATTCAGAGGTTTATGGGTTTTTTTGGTACCAGGGATCAAACTTGGGTCCTTGAGCTTTTGAAGCAGGCACTGGACTGCCATTGAGCTAAATCCCTGGCCCACAGGGGTTTATGTTTAAAGAGCTTTATAAGCTTTTCCTGCTCCAAAGTTTTAAGATGTTAAACCTCAGATCTAGGAACTGAGACCCTTCTCTACCACTAATTTTAAGAGCAGAAGTCAACAAGACACATAGTAGAAATATATATTCAACTTTATTGCATAAAAAAAATTAATTTAAGCCACATGGTGACCATAATACCAATGTCCCAGGCAGGCTATGTCATCCCACTGTCCCCTTCAGACCAATATATACAAACACATACACATTATGCTGGATGAAGAATTTTTTTTTGGATGAAGAATTTTAAAATGTGAAACAATTGGATATTCCATCTTCCCCCTCCTTACAGCCAACTGAAACACATCAACTGTTATCCCGACCTGAAGGAATTCTCATGGGAGACTGAACACATGCCAACCAAAGTAGCCATAAGGCACCCAGGTCCAAAGGAACTCTTGGCAGATATTCAGGATGTCAAGGTTGAAGCCGCCACCGCTATCTCCCAACTGCTGAAGTTGCAACATGAGTCCACATTGAGAGGTGTCAGAGGCACAGTGCCAAGGACATCAAAGCCAAGAGTCATGGGGGAAAAGGGAGAGGATACCCCCCCCCCCCCAGACAAAGGCAACCCACTCACACCTCTATATTCAACAGGCTCTTTTTCCAGGGCAAAGAACAAACATCCACACAGCCTGCCCCGGCCTTATTAAACAGTTTTCTGGAAACACTGGTGCTGTGAGCTTGCCTGCTGGGACACCTGGTAAGTCACACTGAGGTCAGTGTTTCAAGGTGGCTGGTGCAGAGGGAGGTCTTATTGCACTCCTCTGGACGGGTGGTCAGGAAGACCTTTGGGGAGCTCGGTGTTGGCTAAATGACCTCTGATGGCCCAGGGGCTCACAGGCAATGGGCTCTCCAGTAATCCCTCCAGTGACTCCATCAGCCTAACGAAGACAGAGAGCAGGGTGAGCACTACACCCAGCAGGTACAGACTCAAAATATACTTCATAGTTGAAAGGTTGCTGTGCCTTTGTAGAGTAGCAGAGCTGCCTTCTGCTTCTGGTGAGCCTCCAGATCCTGAGAAAAGAGGAAGTGGTTAATCTACAGCCTTTGGGGATATTTGTGCATTCAGCCTCAACCCTCTGGTCTTCCCAGGAGCCAACCGAGAGGCTCAGCCAGCTAGGGAGACAGGGACCAGTACAGTCTCCCATCAGAAAATCTCCAAGTATATTTACCACAAACTCCACAGCCACTGAGCCACACTTGGTTCTCAGACTAATTCAAGGGCACTGTTTTAAACTTCTTCTTCTCTTAAAGATTGTTTTGGGCAGGTGCAGTGCACCAACTCTGTGCTACTACTGTGCAGCTACCTTAAGAGGAGGCCCAGTCGGCTAGTGCAGGAAGGCGGAACCATAAGAACATTCCCTAGAGCGGAATGTGTTGCTGGTGGCTGAGCCAGGAAGAGCCAGGAAGATCACCTCGAGTTCAAGCCCATCCTGCACTACATAGTGAGTTCAAGGCCAGCCTTGACTACACAGCGAGATCTTGTCTCAAAATAGCGCCCTCCCCCCTAAATGCTCTAGAGAAAGCAACCTGCCTAAAATTCTCTCCCATATAGTCAGATTCAGGTTAACCATAAACTTTCTGGAAGTCAAAGTAATTTTGAGAGTTACATCTATCAAGTTCATTTATTCAACAAATATACCCTGAACATTTATAGTGTTAGGCATCCTGAAAAGTGGTTGGGAACACAGTAACCCGGAGGACAGGAACCCTGCCCTCACGGGGCTGTTAGCGCCACAACCCGCCAAGCGCCGTGATAGGAAGGAGATGCTCAGGGTGCTCTGGAAGGGCATGGCTGGGACACCGCCTGACAGCACCAGCGGGCGTCGCGTGGGCTACCGGGATTTTGTACTAAGGACACTAAGAAAACAGGGCTGGTGCGGCTGGCTGGGGGAAGGCAGCCGGCGCCAGTCTCAGCGCGATCCCGAGAAGGCCCCCGGCACGCGGTCAGGGAGAGGGGGGAAGGGAGCCGGGAAACCGGATCTCGGGCCGAAGAAGCCCAGCGCCACTTACCTCGAAGAAGAAGATCCTGGGGTGGCGCGCTTGCTATCGCAGAGGATCGTGCAGGAACAGGGAAAACTCTCGGCCAAACGGCAGCAGCCGATAAGAACACAGGCACGCCACGCCACGCCACGCCACGCCGGCTCCGGCCCCGCCCCTTAAAACGGCGGCACCGCCCACAGGGCGCAATCGCATGCGCACTGGAGTCGTACGCACAAGGCAGCACGCACGTCCGCGGCCCCGCCCCCGCGCGAAAGGGGTCGGGCTGGGGGCTACGCAAAGTGACAGCTGGAAGTGACTCTACGGCGCTGAGTTCAGGGTTGAATCGTTGCGGTCGGGAGTGGAATTCACCTTATGTGTTAATTCCTTCTGCTTTCTGGGGCTGCAGGAAACTTCGAAGCAGTCAGGAAGCAGATTTACCCCCTATCTCGTCTGCGGGAAACACCTGGAGTGACCCCGCTCCGTGGGCTCTCTCGGGTGGAGTGCTGCTGGCCTCGGAGGAGGGCAAAATTATCAGAGGGCTCAGACCGCCATCCCCACCCCTCATTCTCTCCATTTCAGGACCTGAAGAGTGGATTTTATTTATCTCTTAGAGGCGCCACCTCCCCCACTTCCAGATTCTAAGGTTTAATTTCCCACCGAGCTCCCTGGAATGGTGACGTTGTTTTTCATCACTTTAAACTCTGTTTTCTATGAGTTTGCCCTCCGCCCCCGCCCCCACATTGAGTATTAAACCTAGGACCTTTGCACCGAGCTACATCCCCAGGCCTTTTTTTGTCTTTATTAAAAGACAAAGTCTCACAAAGTCTATAAATTGCCCGGGCTGTCGTCTTCCTGCCTCAGTCTCCCAGACAGACGGGATTACAGAGGTGCCTTGCCATGCCCTGCTTGTCCTGTTGGTTTAAAAGAATGTGGAAAAAAAAAAAAAAGAATGTGGAATACATCCGGTCCTGGGGTGTGCTCTTTTTGGTTTATGGGCTTGTCACTTCGCCTTCTGTGGCCTCAATCTCCTCATCTAAAAAGAGAGCATTGGCCCCTAGATGGTTTTAAAGGAGGCTTTTAGTTTGAACTAAAGAGCTAGGAAGTCACAGCCTTACGCCCAAATTTGAAGGCTGGTCTGCCTTACTAGGCACCATCCCACCACACCAAGACAAAAATAACACTGCGCGAGCACGCAGTGAGGGATCGCGGGAAATAGCGTCCCGGGGATACTCGGAATGGGGAGGTCCAATGGAGTGAGCGTCCACGCCTGGGAGGGAAGGCTGTGGGTCTCTTCAGGGCCCTCCTCCTGGGGGGCAAGTCACAGCTCGCTGGAAGGGATGACTGGGGCGGGCACGCAGGGGGCCACTGAGCTCCAAGACGGTTCCCTGTCCTCAGGCCAAGTGCCCAGGCTGGGTAGGAAAGAACCCGGGGCTCCCACTGCTGTGCCTCCTCTGTTCTTCGGAAAAGAGGGGGAGAGGAGCCACACCTTCGTCTTGACCTTTCCCCTACTTTCCGGGCTGGCCGTCATCTGTGGGGAAAGAGGACTTGGGGAGGCTGTAAAAGAAGAAAGTTAAGGAATTCAGACGTGCCATCAGGCAAACATTTGGAAACCAGCTTTCCTGCTCAGCCCCCAGTAGTTTTTGGTCCTTTATCATTCCAGAGGCATCTGTGCCCTTTAACCCAGAATTCCACTACTAAGAATTATCCTTACAGAAACTCTGACAAGTGGAGAACTGATATGTAGAGATGATAATTGCAGCATTGTTCTGAATAGTAAGACTGGGAAAGCCTGTCTAAAGGACCTTGTAAAGGTGCATTTGTAGAGTGAACTAGCAAAAGATAAAGAATAAAAAGCAACTCTATGCATACTGACATGATCGCCATATTGTTAAAAGCTAAGAGCATAAGTGTGTAAAGTATGTATATTGTGCTGTAGTTTGTATTAAACAAACACAAAATAGAGTGTATATGAAATACCTCTTCACACCCACTAGGATGGCTAACATAAAAACAAAACCAGAAAGGAACAAGTGTTGGTGAGGATGTGGAGAAAATGGAAGCTTCCCCTGTTGGTGCTGGGATTGTAAAATGAAATAGCAGCTTTAGAAAACAGTTTGTCCCTCAAAAAAACAAAGTTACCACAGAATCCAGAAATTCCACTCCTAAGTATATCCAAGAAAATTGAAGACATTAGTTCACACAAAAAATGTGCACACAGAAAATTTGAACAATGACATACATATTTGATGATATTAAATATTTAGTTTTATAGGCTGAAAAATTTACAGATGTTTATAGCAGCATTATTTATAATAGCCAAAAAAAGTGGAAATCACTCAAAATGTCTATCAACTTGTGAAAGCAAAATTGAAATGTGGTAGATTGGAGTATCATTCAGAGGAAGAGGAAGGGGGGGAGGGGAGGGAGGAGGAGGAGAAGAAGGGGAGAAGAAGAGGAAGAAGAAGAAGAACTAGCCAGGCATGGTGGTGCACACCTGTAATCCCAGCACCTGGGAGGCTGAGGCAGGAAAATTGAGGAGAGTTCAAGGCCAGCCTGAACTACATAATGAGACCTCGTCTCAAAAAGACAAAAACCAGTATGAGCCTAAACAAAATTAACTACTCAAAACTATCTTTAAAATAATGATTAGTTCAGGAAAGTTAAAATAAAAAGATGAGCTTGAAAATCAGTAAATAAGATGAGATCAGGGAGCAGAAATAAAACAGAAACAGTCCTTTTCTTGGGAAGGAAAGTAGGCTGATAATTTGAGAATTTTAAGTACTCATATTAAAATGTTAAGGGTAGCTCTTCCTTTCCTTCCCTTCCTGAACAATTCAGTCTGCTCCACTGGGTGGAACAGAGCAAGGTTTCTGCAGTGAAGAGAACCCATGACCCAGGGGAATATTCACAGCAGATCCTCAGTGTCTAGAGCCTGTTCAGTAAATCTCGTGAATGACTGGATGGCTGAATGGCTCAGTCTCACTTTTTCCTGTACCCTGAGCACATGTCATTTCTCAGGGAGGCCTGGGTAATTGCCCTGTAGAAAGCAATGCCTGGCACGCTCTCCATCTCCCTTAATCTGCTTCATTTTTTCTTCCTACTACTGATCACCACCAATCACATTGTATTTATTTGTTGATTTCTCTGTCTTCCCCACTAGAATGTAGCTACTTGAGAAGGACTTGGCTGTGTTGGGAATTACTATGCACCAAATCTAGAATAGTGCCCAGCATATAGTAGGTACTCAACAAATAATGACTGACTGAATGAATCATTTTTCTGTATCTGTTTCCCAAGTTTTTTTGGGGAAAAACAGAACAGCTGTTCAGTGACTAATTATAGTTATCAGTATTTGTTATGCAACAGCACTTTAACAATGGTCATCTTTGGATAGTGAACTTTTTTTTTTTTGGTACCGGGATCGAACTCTGGTCCTTGCGCTTGCGTAGCAGGCTTTGAAACCACTGAGCTAAATCCCTGGCCGATAGTGAACTCTTTTCTCCCATGGGTATCTGTTATTTTTACAATTGCAGAAAAAAATTTACTAACATTTTTAACATTTCGTAAATTTACTGCTTGAGCAACATTGTGACAACATGTATGTAACCAAGGCAAAACAAATACATGAATTGGGATGGGGAAATTGGGTCAAGAGCTTGGGGCAAGGCTGGGGGTGTAGCTCAGTGGCAGAGTGCTTACCTAGCATGTTCAAAGCCCTGGGTTCAATCCCCAGTACTGCAAAGCAAAGCAAAACAAAAACAAATAAGGTGAATGTGATGGTGCACACCTGTAATCCCAACACTCAGGAGGTTGAGGCAGGAGGATCACTAAATTCCAGGCCAGCCTGAACTACATAGTGAGACCCTGTCTCAAAACAAAACAACAAAAAACTCCACCTGTATGGGCCCTGGCAGCATAGCCTCCTGATAGAGAATTGCCTAGCATGAACTATGTGAAGCCCTGGGTTCCATCCCAGCACTGTAAACAAAACAAAACAAAACAAAACAAGACAAAAAACTATAAGAACGATTTAAATATAAATATAAATGAGGGAGGGAGAGAGATTGGACTGAGTGTGGATTTACATTTTTAAATATTGACATTATTTTTCACAGGCCAGGATCCTTCTCTTTATTAGTCACAATAGGCACAGTGCCTAGAGCCTATAGACTTTCAAATATTCTCAGAAATATTTGAGATTTAGAAAACAAAGTATACTGAGTTCAAAAAACTTTATTATTTTATTTCTTTAAAACAAGATCTCACTCTATAATTCAGGCTGGCCTTGAACTCGTGGCACTCTTCCTGCTTGTCTCTTGGAGAGCTGGTACCTCAGGCATTTGCTGCCTCACCTGGCTTGTGGGTACACCTTAGCATGATGGAGATGTCCTATTATAGACATGTCTAAGGCCTGTGAAAGTTTTTAAGTGAGGATATGCAGATTATGGAAGTTTTATAGTTTGCCAAGTTTCAGATGTTCTATTATGAACATATATAGCTGTCCCTTGATAGCCATGGGGAATTGGTTCCTGGATTCCCCTACCCCCAAGAATAACAAAATCTGTCCATGTTCAGGTACCTTATAAAAAGTGTCATGTATTTGCATGTGATTTTTGAGCATTCTCCTGAATACTGTGTCATCTTATCTATTTATGATATTTTACCTCTAGATCTTATCATAGATTTCATTCATTCATTCATTTATTTGTAACTGGGGATTGAACCTATGGCCTGGCACATGCTAGGTAAGTGTCCTACCACTGAGCTACATCCCTAACCCCTTACCATAGATTACTTGAGTACCTTATAAATACAATATAAATGTTATGTAAATAGTTGTTATGCTATATTTTTTTAGAGAATAATGAAAAAAGCCCATAAATGTATAGACATAATTTTTCCAGATATTTTAAATCTGCAGTTCATTGAATCTATAAATGTGGAACCCAAGGATCTGGAAGACCAATGGTATTATAAAAGGAATAAAATACAATGACTGTTTTGGGAAAGCATGTTCATGAGGAAGCTTAGGGAAGATTTGAGGTGAATTTCCAATTTCCTCTTCTCAGTGAAGGCCTGTGGAGAGACCTCTATATGGGTAATAAGGATCAAAATAGAACGTTGCAGATATGGATTTAAGAGAGTTCTAGTTGGGAATGGTGGCGCACATGTCTACTATCAGCTTTCTGGGAGGCTGAGGCAAGAGGATCACA